TAGGTATGTGTATAAAAAAAAAAACAAATTCCTCACTTGAGAAAATGCATTAGGGATGTTAATTTTTTCGATTTTTACGATAACGGGATTTTCGGGATGTCGTTGGTTCAATCCCGGGATCAGTCCCGGGATTAAGATATTTATTATTTATCAACAACTTTACATGGATAAATTGCATCAATATGGTTTAAGAAGCTCTCCTACCATATAATAAATAATAAGTAAATGTGTTTGGAACGTACTTTTTATTTAAAGTGAAAATTATTTCATAAGTAACAAAACGAAAGAGAGTAATTAAATTTAACAAATAACAAACACCATGTAAATCCAGATTTCAAACTTTGTGCAAAAATTATGAAAAATCTGCAAATGTTCAGCTAAATTTTCAACTTTTTATTCAGATAAGAGCTAGACTTTTATGGAAAAATAATAAACATTAATTAAATAAAAGAAAAATAGCCAAAATTTATCAAAAGATGGCTGGCTTAATTAGCTGATTACAAGTGTATCTGATAAAGTAATTTAAATGATGTCGAAAAAAGCTCGATGCGAAAAATATTAAGTCAAGATTTTTATTTTCTGGTTGAAAGAAGTTCATAATACTACATAGTGGGGAGGTTCCATGGGTAACTGGACCTCAGAGTACAAAATTTTTTCTTTATAAAAATAACAAATGTGTGGGTAAGACATGAATAAAAATCTTGAAGCAACCAAAACATAACAAATTAAAGCTTTAAAGGCATTTTTATTGCCTTATTTACGTTTTGGAATCAATTTCTAAGTAAATTTTTTGAGTGAGTTTCAAATAGGTTGTGTTAAAAGTACTGTCAAATAATTTGCGATTCTTAATTCATGTGTTTGGTAAGAAAAATATGTAGTCGAACTCATATTAAATATAACTCAATAAAATTATATTATATATCAAATTGTGTGAGTGCTTTATCTACTTATATTACGAGTTATTATTAAGCAGTATTGGTCTTGTCCCACCCGTGACAAAAAAAGGTAAAAGTTGTTATTATTATAATATTACAGAAGTTGAAGTTGTGTTTCGGGTTTGTTACATAATGTTAGAACTTCATCGTCAATGTTTACCACAATTGCATTTTCATTTCCACATAGTTTGATAAGAATAATTCAACAGTCAAGCATGTCCCACCCGTGACAGCTACGGGTGGTACAGTTGCTAGAGGTAGGTTTACAGGGCTGATAAGCTGGGGAGAAGGGCGGAAGCGCGGACTCGCCCATTACCTATATACCCTTGTGGTCAGCTGATTAAGTTAAGTGACATTTTGACCAGTTTAGGTTTTTTCTTTTGTTTATTAATGTTCATGTTTTTTTTTTTTGATAAAAGTCTAGCACAGTACATAACTTTTTTGTTCATAATTTTTAGAAAAATTCTAGGTATGCAGTTTTATAGCGTATTAATTTAAGAAATCGCGTTGATTTGTAATAATTTTTTTGGCTGACGCTGCTAGGCTTTTTCTTCTATATAAAAGGCACTATACTAAGATAAAACGTGAGTGAATTGAGCCCCTACTTGAATTCTTATATTTTTAATAACTAATCTTTAATATAGACCACACTAAAGGCTCCTTTTCATATAAAAATTCGTACGTGTGCCACCCGTGACGGAGGAATTTTGGATTTTTTTTATAATAAAGCCATAATTTTTGTTGTAGTTTTTGCTTTGTTTGCATTCGTGGTTCTTTGTTTTATTATAAGACATCAAGTTCACACAGAAAAGTGAAATAAATTCGCAGAGTTCTCGTAAAATATATCTGCTCCAAAACGCAGGTTCTTTTTTGTCCCACCCGTGACAGTAGAAATAACTCAGATTTTTTCTTTATAAAAGTAAGCTGGCATTTTTTTCGTATTTTGTAATAACTCATGTAATAGTCAATTAGGTGTAGAATTTTTTTGTTCATATGTCCCACCCGTGACGGCGGAATCGCCCAGTGGCAGAAATAAAAGAAGCGCTTTAAGTCCACCAGTTGTGTCTATATTCCTTTTGTTTATGGAAAATATACATTTTTTTTTTGTCTACCTCATATTATATCTAATTACCTGCATATAAATGGGCATTTCTCTGACGTCATGATTTTTTTTTATAAAGACTTTATAATTTCAAAGATATGATTAATTCCAAAACCTATCTAAAAATTTCAGTACAACGTATAACAAAAATATGGGTACCAAATGAAAGAATTTTTGGGCTTCACAAGGACGAATTGAATTGAATTTTAAGCTAATTAAGTTAGTCCTTAGCATATAATTTTTTTCAAAAATAAAAGTTGCAAGGAATATCGAGGATAAAATTATAAAACGGTATTTTCATACCTACCTTTACGCACCAAATAATGTAATCTGTTTTAACTCTACATCTTCTCTTTCATATAATACCCATACTAGTTTTTTAAGTACATTGCACTGAAATCTTTAAATCATTTTTTGAATTACTCATATCTTTCAAATTTCAAAGTTCTTTTAAAAAAAACCTGACGTCGGAGAGAAAAACTGAGAACGCAATTTCACTATATTTGGCCCTTGTTTTCACTGGTCAACATTAGGCGTTTCAGTTATTGTCACCAGTGTAAATTACAAAACCTGAAAATCCCGGGATTTCCAGGACCTAAAAAATACCGGGATCCCGGGTTTAACATTCCCAGCATGCATGTAAAGAAAAGGTGATTATACGGGTACTTCTCCAAGCTATCAGCCGATTTGGAATTGAAAACTTAATTTTATTGTTTTCATAACTCTTTGCTGTTTCACAAATACAGTACAGGCTCGATTTTGGATTCAAGTTGAATCATTAACTTTGTCCATTTATTATCTATACATAGTATAAAGGCAAGTCTGTATCGATAGGAGAGTAACCTTTTTAATTTAGAATTTTAATAGGGCTGCCACCTGTTAAGAAAATTACTATACTCAATTCTAACAAGCGTAGGCGTCAGTTCTGCACCGTCACTATTAAATGAAAAGACTTAGCCTCTGGATGTGTAATAATGTATTATTTTTCTGAGTAGGGTTGCCACCTGTTTAAAACCAATAAGATCTTCACCGCTCGTTGGATAAAAAAATGGGATACCAAATGAAAGCGCATGAACTTCGCATGTACAAAAACTTTAAGTTTTTTGAGGAGGATTGCCACCTATTTAAAATTCTCTCTATATAAATAATATAAAGGAAAGGCGAGATATTTTAACCACGCGACTGAACGGATTTAGACAAGATTTTTTATGTATATAATAAACGAAGTACATCATGACATATGATTTCTTTCTCCAAATATGTAAATGTACATTCAGATGCATACATTCATCCGTGGCCGGCTAGTAATATATGTATGTATATATTATGTAATGTATAAAATTTTAATGAACCACTCAAATATGCCTATTTCCTTTTGTCAAACATTATTTTTCTTTTCTTCAATTATCCGAGGTGGCTTTGGTCTTGACCAACTCGGAAAAACGAGCTCTAGTGTACTGTTTAGAAGAAGCCTACGTATATACTAGGATGTTCGATTATTTACCCTTTTCCAAAACCGATTTTCGTGTTATTCGAAAAATTACAATTTGAAAAACCGGTGCCCGATTTTATTTTACATAGTTTTTAGTGAAAATGCTTATATTAGTATGAAGTAGGGATGTGCGATTAATAGTTCTGGCTAGCTACATTGGGAAATAATCAGATGACATAATGACACTAAAAAATTTTAAAATATGTTCACTAAAATTTTATTAATGTAAAAAACAAACTTTTGGCAAGTAGTTATCGTATTTAATGTAAAATTTAAACGTTTTTAAGAAAAGATATTATTTTTTTTTAAAGGTAACTATTTTATTTATACTCCCAAATTTAGGATATAAAATCCCTTCTACCAAAAAGCTTAAATAGGGTAACGCCGCTCCGAATTGAGCAATTGTCAAAAAGCTCCTTTTTAATCAAAAAGTTGTTTATTGAAACTACCTTCTTTTTTTTTTGTATCATGATTGTACCATGCCGCATTGTAACCCAACCAACTCTCAAATCATTCAACTATATTTGGCATTTTTAGGTTTTACATTTTATTTTTATTATAAAATTTTACATTTGAAGTGAAATGCATCAAGTTGAAAAGATAATAGAATTAGATTTGAAAAACTGTACGCTTTTCCAAGAAATACACACCACTAAAACTGATTTATAGTCTCGTTATGTTTTTATTCGTTTTCTTTAATAATAAAATACTTATGATTTGATTTATATGATAGATACCATTACAGTTTGATTTGAATTTAGAATGCATCAATTCTGTGGTAAATGTTTTTTAAGCTTTGAAATTGGGGTTCCCGGTTGAACTGTTTGCTTCTTATTGGTGGCTTGTTTTGCCCTATGTTTGCTTTCAAGCGCTTGCATGTGCTCCAATGAATTGTAGATGTTTTCATTTTAGTTCTTATAAGGTTTGCTTTAAACATTACAAAATTATGACCATCATCATAGATATCATATTATCGGTAGTAAAAGTAGCAAAATTCACAAATACATATTTTGTTTTTGGTGGTCGTTTATTTTATTGTTTTTTTTGCATTTCTTTTTTTTTTGCTTTTTTCTTAACGTATTTCAAAAATAAAAAAAACGGGGACATTCAACAAAATCTACACTAATACACTCAAATAAATTTGGTTTGATGTTTCTTCCGATTGATCCTCATATTGCCATTTACACTCTCGTGTTTGTGCATGTGTGCGTGTATGCGTGCAGATTCATAAAAAACTTTGTCGCAGTTCCGATTTTTCTACCATTAATACCACTCCATTTTTAGTGCCTACTACATATGTAGCTGATTTTCATATGTCACGTTTTTATTTATCAGCGGTCCTCAAATATTCTTCATGAACGCTTTTTGAGTAATTAATTCTTTTTTTCATTATTGGATAACTTTTTTTTAAATACATGTATATAATATAATTTTTTTTTTTGCTTTAAATAAAATACAAATGAAATAAGATTATTTTTTAATAATCAATCATGATTAAGAAATTACCAATCAAATACACGTTTGAAATGATGCCCGTTATAAAAAGAGGAAACAAAATATTGGGAGTGTGTTTTTTGTTTTTGTTTTGCATGTAGCGTATGTAAATTGTAGACTTGCTCTTTTAGAGCAAAAGGCATTTGGTCTTCTTCCTCTTCTTGACTTGTAGTGCAGCTCTAGTAGCCGTTTCAAACACATCTCGTACACCTTCTTTAGACTTGGCTGAACATTCTAAATAGGCGAAGGCATTAATTTTCTCAGCCATTGCGCGACCCTCTTGAGGCTTAACTGGCTCCTGTTTCATTTTTGCAAGATCCTTTAAAATTATTTATTTATAAGTTATTTTTTGGGGAAAAGTATTCTCATCGTTTTAAACTTACTCGAATAGTGTTGGGATCATTTCGTAAATCCTTTTTATTGCCTACCAAAATTATCGGAACATTTGGACAAAAATGTTTCACCTATAATTAAAAATACATTTTTAGCGTAATGCTTTTTAATTTGTGGAATGAGACTAACCTCAGGAGTCCATTTTTCAGGAATATTCTCTAATGAATCGGGCGAATCCACTGAAAAACACATAAGAATAACATCCGTATCCGGGTAACTCAGTGGTCGTAGTCTGTCATAATCTTCTTGGCCGGCCGTATCCCATAATGCTAGCTCAACCTAAAAATAGAAAAAGGCGAACATTTTAGGTTTGAAATTTTTGTGGGATTTTGTTAAAATTTGTTGAATTTTCATAATTGTTGTACAAACTTTGAAGTATGGATTTATATAGTGTGTGTTATATATTGCGCTAGACTTTTATACAAAAACATTAAACATCGAATAAACAAAGTAATATAGCCAAAACTGGTCAAAGTAAAAAGTTTCTATTATTTCTTCCACCACTGTATATATATGTATGTATACCGGTAAAAATTGCTTTTCACAGGTTGGGTTCCTAATCGCAGGTTGCAGAAACATTCCGGTGGGTTCTCAAAAAATAGGGCTGTTCAGAATGTTGTGGGAATGGTCTGGGATTTGCAGTTGGAATTGCATTTGCAAAGTTCATGCTGGCTACCATGGCAACCGTGTGAATTTTATTGTTGTGAATTTACAAATACAACGAATATGGAAATGCAAGAGCATATGCACAAGATCCTGAACAGCCTAATGTATTAATAATTAGTTAGCCATAGGTATAGTTTATGATGTCGTTTTAATGAAGTTCAGTAAAATAAAAGTTTTGGAAGGGAACGTTTTTTTAACCAAATAATAATAGGTTAGTGTTTGGCCGAGCTTCTCCGATTTGTGGCGTGCGCCTTGATGTTGTCACACAAAGGAGATGGACCTACAGTTTTACGCCTATTCCGAACGTCGAATGTATTTTTGTGAGATGCTGTTTTTAATGGCAGACATACACTTGGAGAATGCGCTTAATCGAAAATCAAACCCTTTTAATCCCCTACATTTTTTTTTTATCAATATGCCAAAGATATATATGTATATACATACATAAATAAATAGATACATTAACCTATGGTTAAAATAATAGCAACGCGACATTCTGACCAATTTCGACTATTCTTCTTTTACTTGTTTAATGTTCATATTTTTTTTTATAAAAGTGTAGCTCATTAACTGACAGAATCAAATTTGAAACTTTCTGTACGAAATTTAGAAAAATTTAACCAATTTTCATCAAAATTTCAAACTATAATTAAAAATTCCTGAAAAAAATTGGTGTGCAGTTTATAGCCAATTAAATTTAAGTGCATTAAAGTGCTAAAAAATGCAGTTGATCTTGAATTTTTTTGCTGGTGCTGTACGCATTTCCTTCCATATAAAAAAAAAATTCAAACATACACGACGGGATTTTCAGCAAGTTCACAATTGCAATTCATTGAAGTAAATTTGAATTGGCTATTAAACTGCATACCAACAATCCATCGTACAGTTCTGTAGAGGCCCCGCCAGATAGAAATTCTTTTCTTCGTCGCAGGGATGATTTTGACTGGCATCCAAGTTAACTCTGTGACTTTGATAACTGATAAAATTCGCTCAACTCTCAAGTAACGTAACTCTTCTTACCTTTTTTTCTGACTTTGGTTAATGCTTAGTTAACTCAGAATCGGCAGTTAACTACAGATTTTCAGTACAGAAGTCTGTAGTTAACTGTGTTGGTGTTTTTGGTTCAGTGAACTGGTGTATTTGGAATAAATTGTGATAGAAATGGATGAAATTGTAACAGAAAAAGAAGAAATTGCAAAAGATAACACCAAATGGCAAAAAACAGGGGATGTTGTTTTCACTTAGGAAGCTGTACGATGGAACAATCTTTTTAGAAACCACAATTAAAAAGTTTGAATATTTGTTGAATTTTTAGTAGTTTTGTACAAAGTTTGAAACTTGGATTAATATGGTTTTTTAGATAGCAATACTTTTATTAAAAATTAATGAACATTAAACAAACAAAAGAAAAATTGTCGAAGCTGGTCAACAGTTTTTATTATTTTGAACATAGGTGTGTATGTAACACATCTATAAAAAGTGTGTTCCGGAATTAGTCCCGATGAGATACATGGTGCATTAATTAGTCGCGACTAATCTGACTCGGAGGTTCGCCACCAGGCCCTACGGAGTGGTAGCACGCACCTCTAACCACTTCTGTAAGTACATATGTACTTTTTTATTTTCTAAAAACGACTACCTACTGGGTTTTCCTACCCTTTCGGGTATCTTCTTCTATCTTCTATATACTTACCTCTAACAAGTTTTTTTCTTTTAACAAACGTATATCTCTTTTATTGTTTTATCGAATTTAATGAATGATATCTCATTTTGAAGGGGAGAAGTTCACGTACATGCGAAAAATAGTCAAGTTGTTCAAATTAAGTTATTTATAAAAAAAGGGATTTTAAAAAGCTGAGAGCACTGTATCAGGTCAATAGAGCGCCAGATCTTCCATAACACTTCATTCAATTGAATGAATTAAACACCCTTTTGAAGGACAGCCTCATTGCTTGAGGTAAAAACAAACATTTTTAATGGGGTTGCCAACCGCTAAAAATTTTTGGGACTTAAATAATCGACTAAAATATTACAACACATTCAATGAATGAAAGGCATTTAAATGCACTCCTAACCGGAAGTAATAATTTTGAAGAGGGTGCCAACTATTTAAAAATGTATATCTATAAATATGTATTAAACAAAGTTGCTTACGCAATACCGAGCATAGCTCTAGAGTGGATTGGTCTATTACGGTGTTCGCAGGAGGCGATTTTTCAGGCAATTTTAGAGGCGATTAGTTGAATCAAAAGTTGGCTGCACCCCAACTTCATTGAAAGCGATTAGTTGAAAGCCCGTTCACACCAGTCGATTTTTTACTTTCAACTAAAAGTTATGTTACAGTGCGCTGCAAATTATTTCCGGTTTCATTTACAGGTTTCGGATTTGAAAAATGTATGATGGATTTTTGTTTAAAAATACAAAAATCAGCCCTATCCTGAGTTTCATTTTGCTCGAACCGGTTCACTTTTTACTTTTCGTAACGGGCGGATGAAAAAATTTCGGGCGAAACTCACGACAAGAATAAATGAGAATATATGGCGCGTACATTTCTTTTGCGAAAATGATTCGATTGCCTCGAAGATAATTTGAATTTTTCAACATTGGACTTTCAGTGTTCGTAAACCATTCGTCGATTAAATTATGAAACATTGCCTCACGCAACCGCAATTTACAAAGATTGGCGATTAGCAGTGCAAATCAAAAACCTCAGCAACGCGCCCAAGTTAATGCAGGACGACCTCAGGAGGAACATGCACCTTAACAACTTAAATCAATTCATTTCGTTGAGAACTCTAATATCGAAATCGATCGCTGTTATGCGATTAAACGCCAAACCATTGCAAAATTGCAAGAGGTTCGTCAGGGACACAACACTTTGATTAAGTTATTTAAAATGGCAATATGCTTTCCGACAAACACAAAACCATAATCAGAGCATATAAATGTCCCACTAGAAGTCATTAAGTGAATAGTTGGTGAAAGTGTTGTACCAAAATGTTCTAACAAAAAACTGAACTTAAAAAACTTTGGGCGAAACGAAGTTCGCCGGGTACATTGGTAAATATGAACAATAATGGTTTCTCCTACTCAACTTTAATTTGGAAGTCCAATTTTTGGGCTTAGCCTAGATGGTGAATATCACTAATTCCAAAAAATGGCTAAACTAAGTTAAGTCTCTTTGAGCGACATGCTCGGACAAAAGGTACCAGTTCATTCCATATGAAGATATATCAAAAGTGGTATTAGTCGCCTGTTCCTTTGTGATTGATCCCGGAGCCATCCCGTATCAGTCGCATTTTGCCAGTCCTGATGGAGCGGAAAACAATTATAGCCAGTATACATACGTTACACCTGTATATATTTGTGCTTGTACACACATATGTACATATGTCGCTAATTCCGTGGAAATTATGCATTGCAATCAAAATAAACCCTATCCGACCATTAACGTTTACAAAATTTTGAGTATTAATCGTCAAATAATAACAGTGAGATTATTTTGTAAAAGTTTGCATTGGGCTGACTCATAGCAAATGTCTCAATGCTAAAAGAGCTTTTTTTGACGAGTTAATTATGATTTGCAAAGAGAGTAATTTACATGATCAAAATTTCTTTTCGTCATACAAGTGCAAACTACATTAATTGTTAGCCTAACGGGATTTTTAAAAAGAAATCGATAAAAACAACGAAATTAGTTTTGCTAAATAATATTAGAAAGAAATTTTAAGGATCTAAAACTCAAATTAGGCAAGATTTGTTTATATTTTTGGTAACTTACTTGTTTGCCATCGACTTCGATGTCCGCAACGTAATTTTCAAAAACAGTTGGAACGTATACCTCTGGGAACTGATCTTTACTGAAGACAATCAGAAGGCATGTTTTACCACAAGCTCCATCGCCTACAATAACCAATTTTTTCCGAATCGTCGTCATTGATCTGTAAAGAGTAACAATCCAAAATTATTTACTTTCCCTGAGTTTTATTCATGGATGTGTTAAAATGCAACAGTTGGAAACAATTTTTACAATTTTATCCAATCCCCCTTAAGCGGATGTTTTGGCACCGTAAATATTTTTCACGAAATTGTGTAGATAACTAAAAATAAAAAAAAATCTACATATATAGATACATATCCATACATATGGATGTATGTATGCATCTTATCGTAATATTAAAATAAGTTTCATCTCGTCAGCACACTTTGGAGCCTTTAATTCCCCACTCGAAAATCGCCTTCCCCTGTCTTCATCTTCAAGTAATCTCGTCCACCTATCGGTGCCCGGACAGTCGACGCCGCGAACTGCGCTGCCAGTACCTTTCATAAGACGGAATCGCCGCGGACGTCATCGCAAACGCCAGCGCATCGAACATCACAATAATTAATTTCATTATCACCATAGCTCAGCAGTCGCTGTCATCACCCATTCGCAGTATTATGCATGGAATTTTTTCTCTTCGCGGATATCCGCCCCCCGCACCTAAATATTTATTCTATCTTTTCCCCTTTTTCACTTCCATTGATGTCAACGCTGCTGCTATTTGCTATTCACATTTTTCACTTACAGAATTTGATGATTTTACTGCCACACACTCGCCAATATCGACTTTGTAGACAATAAATATTTATTTGATGACACCAATTTATGGTCTTGCGACGAAGACTTTCTGTTTTGTGCAAAAATTAAATATCTCCCAATTTTTTCCCGATCAAATTTTCTTTTCACACTTGAAAATGATGATGAACAACGCCTTTAAAATACAAGTGACGACCTCAGCCGATGTTCATTCAGTGATGCCAAACTTAGTAAAAATTTATCATCAATTCTAGACAGGGGCAAAAAAAATTGTAATTCTTATTCACAAATATACTATGCTTTCGATTTAATGTAATTTTAAATCTTAAAACTTTAATCAATTCTGTATTCGAATGAATATATTTAACGGTTCTATGGTTAATAATAATATTAGTGTATTTCCTAAAACACAACCTCAATGACAATTGACTAATTTCGTACGCAAAACTGAGAGTGGGGCAACATTGAAAAATACGAAGTGCGTCAACTTCCCCCAAAAGAGATAAAACATTTGTAGCTGCTAAAATAGAGTGCATTCAACAACGTGAAAAAATGAGAAAACCTCATTATACCTCAAAGAAAATGGCGCCGAAGGTTACTATGCACGGTTGATTTTTTTCAAAGTGTGTTTAATTGGTTAAATTAGATCCAAGGAACTCATCTAGCGCAAGGCCCATCCCGGATAAATATTTACGTAGAACGTATACTTCTTTTTCTGTGCGTGTATGTAGGGTGATTATTCTTGACTTTTGATTTAATTTTAAATAAAACATTTGAAACAGAACAGGATGACGGAATCTTTATTATTACCCTATAGAACAATTTTCGACATTTACTTGTTAAAAATTATTTCATTTAAATGTTGGCCGCAGCAAAGAAGGTAAATTTATAAGGGCTGCGTTTCTTTATACATTCCGGATAATCCCATTTCACAGCCGGAATAAACAGAGAATTCGTTTGAAATATACGCTAACATATCATCAGGAACGTTCTAAAGACAAAGAAGGTAAATTTATAAGAAGAGACAACTCGTTATTTTGAAAATGCGCTGCGCCGATTTTGACCGTATTTACGAAACTTGACGTACGAAACTTGACGTACGAAACTTGACGTACGAAACTTGACGTACGAAACTTGACGTACGAAACTTGATGTACATTGTTGTACGAATTTATACCAGATGGCGTTGTCAGATTAGCTGGTTTCTTCGCCTTCCATATATTTTGTTTTTGCTTTTACTGATTTGACAGCACACCCATCAAAAGCAAAAACAAAATACATGTAAACTTTAGGGCGAATTGAGATTTGACATAACACCCGCAATACAAATACATACGGGATTGTTGTATTTGCTCTACCGCTACCTCCTTGTATAAATTCGCCTTGAGGTGGTGCTACAGGCGAATTTATATTTTCGCCGCGGTACTTCTTAATGTCAAAATCAAGGCGAATGTATACAAGGTGGTGTTACTGGCGAATTTAGATTTTCGCCATGGTACTTCCTATTGGCAAAATTATGTGTTTGTTGTAAACAAGGCGAACTCATATTACAACAAAGACATCATTCTGACATTAAGATGTACCGCGGCGAAAATCTAAATTCGCCATCAACACCACCTTGTGTAAATTCGCCTTGGTCAAAATGGTGTGTAATATGAATTCGCCTTGTTTACAACAAACACATCATTTTGACATTAGGAAGTACCGTGGCGACAATCTAAATTCGCCATTAACACAACCTTGTATACATTCGCCTTGCTTGATGTCAAATCGGACGCGAATTCCTCTTGCAAACCAAGGCGAATTTATACAAGGTGGTGTTCATGGCGAATTTAGATTTTCGCCGCGGTACTTCTTAAAGTCAAGATGATGTGTTTGTTGTAAAATGAATTCGCCTTGTTAACAACAAACACATCATTTTGACATTCGCCATCAACACCACCTTGCATAATTGTGTTTTGTTTTAAATATGCATATCGTCGTTTAAAGAGCAAAACCGCGTATCAGCAAAATGCAAAACCGCGTATGTGAAGTTGTAAAAATTATTTTCTAGAGCGTAAAAACACTCATATTACAAAATGGTTCTCTTTTTAAAGCAATCGCATTTCTGGCTAATATATTTCAAGACGAATGGATAAGAATTGAGCCAAGAGCTTGAGCGAGCAAATCCAATTTTTGGCAGCCAATGTATGTTACGCGGATTTGCAGAATAACGATACGCGGTTTTGTACTTTAAACGACGATATGAATTTAAAATAATAACAAGTACCCTGCAAAAATCCCGACTACTCCATGCATGCGTGTAAAGAGTACTC